ATCTACTCCAAATTTTGAAGCAAGAGTGAGCGAAAATCCCACAATCTAAAATTGACGAGATGATTCTCACGATGCCCCAAAGGATCAACGAACTCCACGAAGCGAAAGGAAGATCTACTAGATATTAATTAAATTATAAATATATCAATTCATGTGAATATGACTGAAAAATTTCATTTTTTTCTGAAAAGGTGGTGTCAATTTACTTGTAACCACGCTGTGTACATATACTAGGCCTGAAGAAGCCACAAAGGCGAAATGTCAGTTAAAATAAAAGTTATAATTATCTAGGGTGTAAAAGTAGTTTTGATTCAACGTTATTATCACAACTTGTAAATCCACCCAGTATGAACTTCAAATTCTGAAAGGCAAATAACGTGGGAGTTCGTTTAAAAAATCTTGACATTTTGAGATTACTGGGAAAAAGTACTGTATGAAGAGAAACACTTTACAAAGGTATATTAACCGGCACGTTAAACAAAAAGAGAATACTTACAGATGTTGTAAGAGCCACACACTTGAGTCACTGAGACAGTCTAAATCTTAAAATACTAAACTACATTTTATATTTAAAAAACGCACAAATTCTTTTAAATGGTATTGAGGAAAGTATTGCATGGTATTTTCATTTTCAAAAACACCAGCAGCAAACCATTTGTAACGATAAACATTAGAATATTCTTATTGTACTTGGGACTTGAATAAATCACGAAATCAACCTACCTTGAAATCCAAAAATAAGTACTTGCTCAAGTACAAAACGTTTTTGTCTGTTTCCATATCTATACTGGTTTTATTTTTCAGGTAGCGATTATTCCTTTTGATTTAACAAATTGTATTATAAACAGTGTCACACTGAGGTTTAGTGTCATTGAAAAAATAATAATAACTTGTGGTAATTCTTTGCTTTTATTAATCATAAGGCTTAAACAATTCTTCCTCAAACATATTCATCTTTGTCAAGTGACATATTTTCACCTTTTCTTATAAATATTTGCACAGTAAGAATCGTATATTGTGACATTATATTTTCACCTTTTCTTATAAATATTTGCACAGTAAGAATCGTATATTGTGACATTCTATTTTCACCTTTTTTATAAATATTTGCACAGTAAGAATCGTATATTTTTATTGTGAACCGTTTAGTGAAATGAAGGTTATTATGTAATTACTAGACTGGTTAGCCCTTATCACCAAAAAACACGTTATTATATGGACTGGTTATCCCGCGTCCACTAACATAACGTGAATTGAGACTAATAATGGCTGGAGACGGCTTGAATGGCTAATGAAGAAAACTTTAATATAAGTTTAACATAACAGCAAATGTACGTTTTGACAAGGTTTTATCATCATCAGGTACCCATTTGCTGTTATATTAAAGTTTTTCTTCATTACCCATTCAAGCCTTCTCCAGCCATTATAACGTGAATTGGTATCTATTATCACATTATGACACGTCGTTATGTGGACTGGCTAGCTTACGTCATCACGTGAACTGATTAGCCCTCGTCACCTAACTGATCCTGAAAAATATTTCACTATATCATGTAACATACACCATAGCAGAATGACTAAAAGTATTCCTGATGCACATTCAGAGATTTTTAATAGCTAGATAAATCTTAACAGATACTAAAAGTTTTAGACATTCATTTTATCAGTCGTAACACATTTTAAACAACCA